CCAAATACAGGGCAATCTTAGAAAAAAACTTGTTAAAGTCTGCAAAAGACTTGAGACCGGGGCGGAGGTTCAAGTTACAATAGGATAACAACCCTAAACATCCAGCCAGAGCTACAATAGAATGGTTTAGATCAAAGCATATTCATGTGCTAGAATGGCCCAGTCAAAGTCCAGACCTAAATCCAATCCAGAACCTGTGGCAAGACTTGAAAATTGCCGTTCACAGACGTTCTCCATCCAATCTGACAGAACTTGAGCTATTTTGCAAATGAAAGGGCAAAAATGTCCCTCTCTAGATGTGCAAAGCTGGTAGAGACATCCCCAAATGACTTGCAGCTGTAATTGCAGTAAAAGGTGGGTATACAAAATATTGACTCAGGGGGGCTGAATACAAATGCATGCCACACTTTTCACATATTTATTTGTAAAATCATTTGTTGAAAATCATTTATCATTTTCCTTCTACTTCACAATTATGTGCCACTTTGTGTTGGTCTATCACATAAAATCCCAATAAAATACATTTACTTTTTTGCCTGTAACATGACAAAATGTGGAAAATTTCAAGGGGTATGAATACTTTTTCAAGGCACTGTATACCAATAATGACTTCAGCTCTGTACTCTGAGCTCTGGCCTACTCTCTCTTACCTGAACCATGGTCAATGAGACCCCACATTACACTGAGGAACCAACAATTTGACGGTTGGGGCTGATAACGGAGCACACAATGGCAAACTATCCATGGAATTATCTAAGCTTCCTGCACCATTATAATGGCACAGCAAACTGTCAGAAGTGGCGTGCGCCACATTACCTGAGCAGATTGACAGCAGGTCTATCTACACCAGTTTCTATAGAAATAGAAACCAGATCTGCAACTAATTCACAGAGGACATGTGGAAGTTACCATATAAAAAAACTGCAGTAGATCCCTGCCAGGTGTGACCAGTGATATGGGATGTGATCTGACAGTAGATAGCTCAGAATGCTCTAGCCGTGCAGTGATTACAACACAAGCAGAAGATACAGTTGCAAGAAAAAGTATGTGAACCCCTTGGGATTACGTGGAGTTTTGCATGAATTGGGCATAAAATGTGCTCTGAACGTCATCTAAGTCACAACAACAGAAAGAACACAGTCTGCTGAACATAATACTACACAAACATTAGATGTTGCCATGGTTTAATTGCACATAACATGTAAACATTCATAGTGCAGGGAGGAAAAAGTATGTGAACCTTTGGACTTAATAACTGGTTGACCCTCCTTTGGCAGCAATAACTTCAACCAAAAAAACGTTTCCTGTAGTTGCAGATCAGACCTGCACAACGATCTGGAGTAATTTTGGACCACTCCTCTTCACAAAAAACTGTTTCAGTGTAGCAATATTCTTGGGATGTCTGGTGTGAATCGCTCTCTTAAGGTCATGCCAAAGCATTTCAGTCGGATTGAGGTCAGGACTCTGACTGGGCCACTCCAGAAGGCGAATTCTGTGCTGTTGCAGCCATTGTTTTGTTGAATTACTTGTATGCTTTGGGTCATTGTCCTGTTGCATCACCCATCCTCTGCGAAGCTTCAGTTGGCGGACAGATGGTCGTACGTTTTCCTGCAAAATGTCTTGATAAACTCTGGAATTCATTTTCCCATCAATGACAACAATCCGTCCAGGCCCCGAGGCAGCAAAGCAACCCCAAACCATGATGCTCCCTCCGCCATGTTTTACAGTGGGGATGAGGTTTTGATGTTGGTGTGCTGTGCCTTTTTTTCTCCACACATAGTGTTGTGTGTTCTTCCCAAACAACTCAATCTTGGTTTCATCTGTCCACAGTATATTTTGCCAGTAGTGCTGTGGAACATCCAGGTGCTCTTTTGTAAACTTCAAACGTGCTGCAATATTCTTTTTGGACAGCAATGGCTTCCTCCGTGGTGTCCTCCCATGTACTCCATTCTTGTTTCATGTTTTCCTTATTGTAGATGTGTCAACAAAAATGTTAGCATGTGCCAGAGATTTCTGTAGGCCTTTAGCTGACACTCTGGGATTCTTCTTTACCTCATGCAGCATTCTGCGCTGTGCTCTTGCAGTCATTTTTACAGGATGACCACGCCTAGGGAGAGTAGCAACAGTGCTAAACTTTCTCCATTTGTAGACAGTCTGTCTTACTGTGGACACATGAACATCAAGGCTTTTAGAGATACTTTTGTAACCCTTTCCAGCTTCATGCAAGTCAACAATTCTTGATCGTAGGTCTTCTGAGAGCTCTTTTCTGCGAGGCATGGTTCACATCAGACAGTGCTTCTTGAAACCAGTAAACCCAAAACAGGTGTGTGTTTTTTAAGGGCAGGACAGCTGTCAGCAACACATCCAATATCATCACACTGATTGGAGTCAAGGTTGGCTCACTTCTGGCTCCAATTAGCTCTGGGAAGAGTCATTAAGCTAGGGCCTCACATACTTTTTCCTGCCTGCACTGTGAATGTTTACATGTTATGTGCAATTAAACCATGGCAACATCTAATGTTTGTGTAGTATTATGTTCAGCAGACTGTGTTCTTCTATTGTTATGACTTAGATGACGTTCAGAGCACATTTTATGCCCAACTCATGCAAAACTCCACTTAATCCCAAAGGGTTCACATACTTTTTCTTGCAACTGTATATAATATTTCCATGCAGTGGATGAAATAAAATACCAATAAAATGAAGATAGTAGGCAGCTGCTGTCACTGAACAATATCCTGTTGCAAAAAGATGTGTTGTGAAAAGTAAACTGTATATGGTGTAGCACTACCAATTTACCACTGTATACCACTGGGAACCAGGGAGACGCTGCCTATATACCACTAGGAACCAGGGAGACTCTGCCTATATAGCACTGGGAAACAGGGAGACTCTGCCTATATAGCACTGGGAACCAGGGAGACTCTGCCTATATAGCACTGGGAACCAGGGAGACTCTGCCTATATACCACTGGGAACCAGGGAGACTCTGCCTATATACCACTAGGAACCAGGAGACTCTGCCTATATAGCATTGGGAACCAGGGAGACTCTGCCTATATAGCACTGGGAAACAGGGAGACTCTGCCTATATAGCACTGGGAACCAGGGAGACTCTGCCTATATAGCACTGGGAACCAGGGAGACTCTGCCTATATAGCACTGGGAACCAGGGAGACTCTGCCTATATACCACTGGGAACCAGGGAGACTCTGCCTATATACCACTGGGAACCAAAGGAGAGGAGAACTCCATCTTGAGCGCTCTCTGACCTGCTTAAACTAAGGGGTCAACAAATTGTGGTGAGTGTGGTTGTGGAGGCGGAATTCAGAGCAGAATTGTCACTCTTATATAGGCTGTGCCTGGTTGATAACAAGATGTTGATTCCTATTAGTAAAACTTTGTTAAAGAGACTCTGCTACTTTTCCCATTCAAGTAAAAATGACACAGTCTCTGGAAATCCCTCTGTATCAGTTTACACTTACCTTTGCCCAGCTTCCCTGCTCAAAGACCCTCAAGTACAACTTTTACAGACCTGAACATGCAGTCTCTAGTTCTGAAGATGAGCTCATTGCCCTCAGAACAACAGTATCGCTGGGATTTCCACAGATCAGGCATTTTCTTACGCTAGAGATAAGGTAAAAGTGTCCTTCTTGACACTTACATATTCCTTTTGAAGGTTACCGGATTCTGGTCACAGCAGCCATTGTTAACTGACAGAACCCACAGGGATGCCAAGAATCTCTTCTTCTCTCTCACTTTCACATCTTCTGGTCACTCCAAATTGAAAGAATGTCCAGTCAGTTTAGAGTGGGCTTAACTGATTTTCTAATATTAGGCAGGTTGACACAAGATTTCCACTTAAATGGCAATTCCAACTTCATGGCTTACAGAAGTATTTTCTGAATACCCCCCGAGGCCCGTGTTCCACTGTCATCGTGTCCAGCCAGTTCTCACAAGATACTGGTAAAGCCCTTTCTCTAAAACAGGTACTTGCAGAGTCATTATCCTTACTAAGGAAGCCCTTTTAAGAGAAGAAGGGTGCCCAAAGGGAAGAAGAACCTACTCCCCACTTGAATGTCTGCTAGCCTCTCTACGTCTTTGTCTTCTTTGCACCTCCATTGCATTCACCCACCAACTGAATATTTCATTGTGTTCAACCAGTTCCCACAAGATACTGCAAAAGTCCTTTCTCTAAAGCAAGTACTTGCGGAATCTTTATCCTTACTAAGGTAGCCCTTTTAAGAAGACAAAAGGTGACCTAAGGAAAGAGGAACCTACTCCTACAATTGGAATTTTGCTAGCTTCTTTGTCTTCTTCTTCTAATCTCCCTCTACTGAGTCCTTCCACCAACAAAATACTTCCTGATTGATTTGAAAAGGGAAGGGGATGGGATCAAAACCAAAAGAGCCTAATACCCCTTTAAAATATATATTTCGGAAGACTAGAGTTATGCTTTAAATAGGACAACCAGGTATCTTGGGGTACTGTATGCTTAGCAGTAAATATTGTACTTTGTGTAAAGTATTTGTTGTTAAATTGTGCAAAGTGTTAAGTGCCCTCTCTATTCTGGAAACTTTGATGAATGCTAAAGGAAGACACAAGACGACTGTTCTGTTTTTTCCTTTAATCTACATCAAAGTTTTATCTTGTGTTCCTGGAGGTATTGACCTTGGTGCCCTCTGAATCTTGTCTCATTCTCTGAATTTCAACCACAGTGCACAAAGATGCATTCTGATCACATGAAAGAAAATCCATGATCATGTAGCCTAGTAATTCTTGAATTTAAGCACATACTAACCAGATTATAAAAGGGTATAATAAAATATATTGCTCAGTCAGCATGCAGTATCTAGCTGCACACCTGTAAAGTTTTTTTGATACCAGTATACTCTCCATTGATCATTTCTAGTAGTGTGAGTGACCCCTGATATTTGGTCCTCTGTGTTTATAGCATTATTAATCCTTCTTTCACATGATAAGGGAAGGGACTATTTCTACTATACCTTTGCTGATGTCTCGAACCAGCCAACAAAACCGTGTTCTTTGCAGAACTGGTCCATTTTGGTGAGGTTGTTTCTGAAGCCGTCTTTTCCCTGGTCACACTTGTTGGCTAGAAGTACTGTGGATACTGGCAAACCATTAGACAGAGTCAATTTTGAGTCTAAATCCTCTTTCCATTTGGTCACAGCCTCAAACGTTGCCGGCCTTGTTACGTCAAACACAATGAAGGCTCCTACTGCTTCTCGATAGTAGACTCGGGTCATGTTTCCAAACCGCTCTTGACCTGAAAGATGGAAGAGTTTATATAATAATTGGATCTCCTAATCAAGACTTATAGTGAAGTGTAGATTATCATAATGGCATTCTGGATGGAGGTTCAGGAGTCAGGACCCATACATCAAAGAGGGTCTGTTTGCCACTTACAGAAGTAATTTGTTCAAATATGGACTTGAAGCTAACGTTCAAGAAAACAGCTAAATTCACAGATTAAATAACTGTAGGAGAGCTATGGTTACCTGCCAAATGATTTGTATTCCTTTTTATTCATTTAGAGATTTACAGAGCTCTGCCACGCAGAACAATCAGCCTGGAGACCTACTGCAGTTGCATGCATGTTACTTGTACAGGAGATTACACAGGACTCGTACTAGGTCAAATTAAGTTTATTGCGCTTAATTATTTGTAATGGACACACACCTGCACAAATTCGTGTGCATTTTAAATATGCCTGGAGCTCAGCTTCAATGTAAAAGAAATAAGAACCCAATGGTGAAACAATGGTGCCTAAAACTTCTGTGAAGTTGTCCTATTGGTAGAGATAGTAGACCTAAGGAGGAGTAAGTAGCTTACTATACATGTAGGTTATTTCAAGGAAAGTGGTGAATTATTTGTTTAAAGCTGAACTACAGTGCACCACAAACCAAAAACACTATTTAATTCATTTTTAATATTCAAAGCAAACTCACCCATCCATGTCTTCATGCCTTTGTTTTCATGAGAAATCACTTTGAAAAACATCCCCCTAGCGCTTCTGGACGTTGCCATCTGCATTAAGGGCAGATGATTCATGTAGCATATACTTCCTAGAATCCATCTGCCCTTAGCTCAGGCGTGCAGGCAAGAGGGTGTGCTTAGCTGAGAGAACCCCTCCCACCCTCCTGAAGACTCCTGGGATGTATGACATCATTTGTAACTAAAGAAATGTAAGAAAAAAAGTTTAAAACAAGTGAATATGATATACCTTCCTATCTATTTACTAATGCTAGCAGCACAAGAATTAAAGATATTTATATATATATATATATATATATATAAAATATATAATACCCCCGCGCTATTAGAAAAAAATATATATAATAAGCAGCCAGCACTTGGGTGTCACAACCCTGGCACCAAATACAGTCAGAGAATTACAGATATAAAAAAGTGCAGCGCTATAAATACCTCATCCGCATAAATATATATTATATGCAAAATATCTCACATCACATCTACTAGGAAGAATTATATATAGTGCTGTGATTGCTCTCAATAATAATAAGTGAAAAAAAAACACGGCAATCTTCATGCAAGTGCTCCCAGTTGGATAATGAATCCACAGTGACAGGGGTGCCCCCTCACCTTCCTGCCCAGGCCCCTCAGGACCACTGAGCCAGATAAATGCCTGATGAAGGCTATCCTGATGAAGTCACGTGTAACCAATCGTGACGTAACGCGTAGATACGCCAGTGGGAGGAGCCTAACGGACTGCGTGGTGACGTCATATCCGGCGTCGGCGCCATCTTGGTGCACCTTGTGAGGATCCACACAGATAGTACACCAATGGTGTGGTGAAATGTGATTATTGAGCTGCACAAATGTGAGTAGTACTTTGGAGTGTGGCTTTTATTAAAAGTATGCAGTTTTACACTATGTTGGATCTTTTTGCCTTATGTGGGACATATATGGAGAGGTGTTCGTACTAATATCCGGAGGTATTCGTTGGATATATACTTATCAGAGGAGGAGGAAGTACCACTGTTATTGCTGAGGAGGTTCCCACGGTGTCTTGGGAGGATAACAAAAGAGGCATTTATCTGGCTCAGTGGTCCTGAGGGGCCTGGGCAGGAAGGTGAAGGGGCACCCCTGTCACTGTGGATTCATTATCCAACTGGGAGCACTTGCATGAAGATTGCCGTGTGTTTCTTTCACTTATTATTATTGAGAGCAATCACAGCACTATATATAATTCTTCCTAGTAGATGTGATGTGAGATATTTTGCATATAATATATATTTATGCGGATGAAGAATTAAAGATAGCCAATGTTGACAGAAAGAGTGAAGTTACGCTTTAAGTATGGTAGTGTATTCTATTGATATAAATAATTCACGGTAATTTGAATACTGCAAGCATGATGGTAGTATCTAAAGGAAACTGGCACAATTAATGCATTGAGAGGGGGCCAATGGAATCACCCAGGGCCCCTAGTTTAAAATTAATTCTGTCTTATTCTTTGGGAATATCACTCATTGCTTAGTGTGACCATATACAGCCCAATAAATGCAGAAGTGAAATGCTAGTTTTGGCTTTCAACTCGGACGATGCTGATATTGGATCAAGCAGAGCAGGGTTTCCCAACCCTTCACCTTGGAGGAACCATTGGCAAAGGGTTTGAGATCTCGGGGAACCCCTGAAATGACGTTACATCTACAGCTCTACCTTTTATTTGAATTACATACATTTAAATTCTTCCATTATGCCTTGTTCCATTATGAACTATGATCAATCTTAAAGTGACTGCTAACATGTATGGTGCAGGACCCTAAAGATGAGTCTGCATACCTGCAGTAGCTTTTTACTCCTCCACTCTGCCGACATGTGTATTTTTTTTTTTTTGCTCTCTGTCACCAAGTGACACCTACACCCTATCATTTCTTATCCTGGTGTCACCAGAACAGGAAATGAGGGAAATCTCTCTGACATTTAACCACTTAAAAATGAAAAAAAAGAAGAAAAGTGTGTATTAATTATATACTTTAATTCAATAGATTTAACAGTGTAAATCACTTAATTAGCTAAGTCTGTCTTGATTGAGATACATGTAGTAGTCATCCCTTTGCACAGTACAACTGAAAATAGTATAGGAATTAGATTACGGCTCTATTACTCAGTGCTGCCAGTCTAGCATTGTAACCATGCTTACAGGACAGCAGTACACAGGGATGACCTCACGTGGTTATGTTCACTGTCTGAGTGACTTCTGTCACCCGGAATATCACATAAAGGAAGCAATACAAAGAGAACAGGATACTTTTTCATACAAATACATGGTACAGCAGACACATATCAGGAATATGAAATGTTGGGTTTACATACATTTTTATGATTGTTAATGCTCCTATTCACAATTTCTTATCAAATTTAAAGTGGTCATAAAGGCTCAAGATGTTTTATCTTCATGCATTCTATGCATAAGGTAAAAAAAACCTCTCTGCAGCATCCCCCCAGCCCGCCGATAGCTAAACCCTCTCTCGATCTAGCGATATGCACTTGAGTCTCGGCTATAGCAGGACTCCCTCTCCTCATTGGCTCCTGCTGCTGTCAATCACAGCCATTGAGCCAATGAGAAGAAAGAGGGGTGGGGCCGAGCCGTGACTCCATGTGTGAATAGATACATGAAGCAGCGGCTAGGGAGTGTGCATGTTCAGGTGCCCCCACAGCAAGATGCTTGCTGTGGGGGCACCCAACAGGAGGGAGGGGCTAGGAACGCTGATGGGGGACCCCGATAAGAGAAGGATCCGAGCTGCTCTGTGCAAAATAACTGCACACAGCAGGTAAGTATGACATCTTTGTAATTAAAAAAAAATATTAAGCCTTTAGAATCACTTTAATACAAACACCTAGGCTTTTTGCAGAATTACAAACCTCAGATATCACTTTTCAGTTGAGAAGACACTCTGTTATTTTTCCCTTCAGGAATACTGTGTTAGGCCTCATTAGGCCTTGTTCATACAGGTGTCCTAGGGGGCAGTAAAAATAAGCAGCTGAGCCCCCCCAACCGTCCACCTAAAAGATAGTATGCAGCTGCTAAAAGCTGTACTTGTGTCATGGCCACAATGCTTTGCTCCATGGCAAGAATTATACCCCCTGTCCTGTTTGTACCAGTGTCAAACATGAGCCATTCAAGCAAATGGGGTGATGACGCAACTACTAGCCAAGCTCTTGGCTCGCAGTTGTGGCATGGTATTTACATGCACAATCCGCATTTGGCTGGCATAAAAATAAGCAGGGCCTCCTGAATGTCTGGCAGCTACTGCTCTATCACCCACTATGGATTACTTTTTATAGGCATAGCAAGAATTGCTGCCAGTGCAAACAAGCCCATAAACATGCAAGATTAATGTCCAGGATGACCAATGTACTAATAGATAAGTGACTAGCAACAGCATGTTCAAAAAACAAACAAAAATTCCCAGCTCACTTACCAGCCAGCCTGCAACAAAACCAAATTGACTCTCTATAACAGTTCATGTTAAAAACAAGGGGTTTAGTCACACACATTTGCAAATATATATTTAAGCTGCCGTGACCACGTCAAGGCACCCCAGTGTACTGCAGTCCTAACTCTATAATTCTGAAAGTCTCCCAAATTGGAGCACATATAGCAATGGGCAGATTAAAGGCAGGGAGCCCACCCCACCCTAAGGTGCAGGGATGCTGGAGGTATCCAGTGCATCCCCTCATCAATTCACCAGCTATACAAACAAATAGCAACCACTCCAACCTATAACTAATAATAAAAATGTGAAAAATATACAAATCACAAATAATAGCGCAAACCAAATCACACAGCTAAATATAACCACCACCAAATAAGTGCATATTAATAGTGCAAACAAAAAAATCAATAAATAGGGAATCTCAATATAGTCCATTCAGAAAAGACCATATAAACATGATCCTCAGTAAATGAAGTAATGAGATCCTCCTTCATAAGCAATGTGGTATTCAGTGCTCAAAAACACCCCATCAAAATGCACACTCACCATGTGCTAGGAATTAACCAGCATGTCAGTATATATCCAGCATTCACCAAACAGACTTCAAAAGACGATCCTCATGTGTTGGTAATTACTCAGCATACTACTGTGTATCCAGCATATCACCAAACAAACTCCAGAGAAGATCCTCTCATATCCAGATTAGCACATGTGGGTTAAGAAAATCTTCGCCATAGTGCAGTATCATCCAACAAATTTATTGCCAAACAAACCCCCCTTAG